GGAGCCACTTCTCACATGAGAAGGGAAGTGGGAACTGTCGAGTGAAACGTGTGAAGTTGAGAAAAAATTGAGAGGAAAAAAGGGGAGAGGTGAAAAATGGATGGATGAAAAATTGAGAGGTGAAAAATGGAGAGGTGAAAAACAGGGGGTGGGGAGTGGCTCACAGGATGGGCGCTACAGCTAGGGCATTACCAATCAACCGCGTCACTGCACCGCTTCCACGCTACCGCTTCCCCCCCGCCGCGTAGTTATACATAAGGTAGTAAATCTGCGTGGAGCGCTGCAGGATGAAGGTGAAGACGTTGAGAATGTTGTTCTTCTCCAAGTAGGAGTTGGCCAACTTCTTCAAATCGATGCGGTTAATATGCTTGAGATTGATACTTTCGATGTTAATCTGATTGACTTTCTGGTTGTTAAGCATAGCGTAGGTGAAGTAGATGACGCAGGTAAGTATCTTCTTCATGACGTGAATGTCGATTTCTATGTTCTCGAAAAACTTCTTGACGTTCTCTGCGGGGGGGGAGGGCGTGCCGCCCGTCATGGCCGCTGTGGAGTTCGAAGTGGAAGAAGAGGTAGCCACTCCTGCCTTCTTCTCCCCAAGGGGGTTGTAGTCCGCGTTAAACAGCTCCGTGCTGATTTCGTGCTCGTTGGGGTTATGCGGGTTAAGCGGCTGGTATGGGTGGTTCCTTGCCTGGTTGATCTCGCCGTGGCCGCCCTGTGCACCACACGCAGCTACCCCCCCCCCACCCCCTGTCATAGATGAACCAGTTCAGCATAAACTTCTGCTCAGGAGACTTCTCCTTCGAAGTCAGATTGTTCAATAAAAAGTAAATGATATTGGTCAATTTCTTCATCGCCAAGGAAACACTCTTGAGCATGGAGAAGTTTTCGAATTTTATCAAATTGATGAAATAGAAAGAAGTGTTCATAAAGACCTTTAAGATCATTTTTATGTATTCAGAATATTTTGTCTTGGATTCCTGGACATACTCATCATACAATCCGATGTCATATTCGATGATGTCTAGACATAGGTTGATGCAATGAAATTTGATGGAATACTTTGGGATGATGTTTTGCAGAATGCGATGCGTCCTTATGCTTTTTCTTCGCTTCTCCAGCATAGTCTTGTTCAGATTTTTGTTCAGTAATTCATTTTCATCACTCAAGCTGATGTCGTATACTACAAAGATGGAGAGGATACTTAGGAGGTCTTTAATGTAATGGAGGATGTAGTTGTGCTCCTTGATTAGGTTGCATATGTTCAGGGAAATCTCGTTGTATTCGAATTTTAGCGATGCGTCGAGTGGGGCGTCCAGTGATGTGTCGAGCGATGCGTCCAGTGAGATGTCTTCTTCCCCTTCGCTGTCTCCTCCGCTGTGGGCTGCTTCTTCTTCCCCATTGGACGCATGGTGTGTGTACTGCTCCACGTGGGAAGGATACGTGCCTGCCGGATTGTAGATCCCCTTTTCGATAAACAGGCCATCAGCGCTGGACGGGTAGTTTTTGCTTGGTAGGGAGGAGTCCATCCGGATGGTTCTTCTGCTTTTTCCACTTCTGCTTCTCCTCCTCTGCGCATCATGCTGGTCAATGGATCCATACTGAGCCGGGGGCTGCTCCCCGTTGTAGTAGTAATCATAGTCACCGTGGCGGTAGACCTCTCCTTGGGGGGTATTCAGTGCACCTTTTCTGCCCCTTGGGTTTATTAGTCCAAGGGGGTAATGGTTTCCCTGCTCTTCCTCCCCTGTGCTGTCATTTCCACTCGCGCCATCGTCTTCGCTATCGTCTGAAGCGTCCTCCACAATGTTTCCTCCCTGAGAAACCGCCTCCTCATCGTCCGATTGGATTAATCCCTGTCCCATCATCATCGTCATGACCCCGTTGCCGCTTCGCTTCTTCTTCGCACCGACACTTCTGGAAGTAAGTCCTTTTCCCCCCCGCTTCGTCCTCATTATTTTCAGCTTCTTCAACGTCAGGTAGTTTTGGTGTATGTACAGGAGATAGTTTTTATACAGCCTCAGCAGGTAGTACGTGCTGGCATAAATGATGTCTAAATTAACTACCCCCATGGTTGTGTGGTTTATGGATTCCTCCGAGTTGGCTCTGTCTTTCTGTGGGTCGCGCAGCCAGTCTCGCTGCGCGTGGCGCTGCCCCGGCTGGGTCCATGACTCGGCTGCCTCTTCCCCCTGCGGGGGACAGCGGTCACGAGGGTGGCCATCTTCGCCAGTGTCACATCCACCACGTCCACCACTTCGTCCGCTTCCACCTCTTCCACCACTTCTACCCCTTCCAGCGGCTGCTTCCGCCCCGCCCTGCTTCGAAAAGTTACACGTAGAAGCATAACACAGGCACTTATACACCAACTCGTGATTATACGTCGTGAAATTATTCACCTCATGACTGATCTCCTTGGACTTGATCAGATAGTTATTAACAATCAGGTGGTTGACAAAGATGTGGATATTCTTAATGACCCAGCTTCCAATCCATTTAAATAAATGGAGACCCTTCTTGTCCACAATCTTTAAGATGACCGTGACGTAGGAAATGATGAGAGACGGAAGGGGGAGATAAATATTTTTGTTGTCCAGAAAGTTGGTCGGGAAAGTTAAGAAGGAAATACTCGGACAGAGGTAATGAAATTTATATTCATATAGATGGTCAAAAATGTTGCTACTTAGGAATAAATTGAACAGATCAGCCTTTTGTACAAATTCGTTGAGGTAGGTAGTGTCACAGAGGGAGCTGAGTAAAAAGCATGTGTGTAGAATTTTTTCATTATTGTGGTTCTGTTCCTTTGTATGGTTAATCAGAAATAGATTTCCCTTAATGAGTTTCTTTATATTCTGCTCGTCTATCTTAATGTCGATCTCATGTATCCCTATCTTGTTCAGAAGGAAGATGAGCAAGTTGATGCTTAACACGTTTAAGTCATTTCGATTGTAGAAGAAATTGCAGCAGAAGGATTCCTCGTATATGTTCAGGCTGCGATTATTCAGATGGATTTTATTCTTCAGCTTATCCTTGAAATGGAAGCTCAGCAGATTCTTCCCTCCGTCGGTGTCCTCCTCGAATGGGTCATCCATCAAGGCGGTCGCGCCTGAATTGTCAAAGATACGCTGCTCTGAGGAGGCTTCCCTATCTGTGTAGAGAAACACCTCCGTGTTGTAATCAATAAACTTGTACACATTGGTGTAGAAGTAGACCGGAATGATGAAATTCCTATTTGTGATGAAACTCTTGTATGAGTCCATAAAAAGGTTGCATATAAAATCGTTAAGTACCTCCTGATCGATTCGCTTCATGAGGGAGAGGAACATATTCTTTGTCTGCCCAATGCTGTTCTCTTCTCCACTATGCATGTAGTTGTAGTGATATATATTCAGCAGCGTGTAGAGGCACTCGTAAATGTAGATAATTGTGTACTTATTTAAAATGGGGTGCTTCTTTGTTATTAATAAAATGAATAGCTCCAGGAGGTCATCAAAGAATTCATTGCTCTTTAGGATCAGTTTGGCATACTCACTGTGCACATCGTAGTGTATCTTCTCTTTCCTTCTACTGCGTTGGAGTAGCTCCATTTCGTCTTCTTCCCCGGGGAGGAAGCCTGCCCCTCCGTCGTACTCCTTCCCCCCTCTCGCAGCAGGAATGTATGATGCTACGCGATTTTTTCTCAGCTCGAAGAGGCGGTCCCTTGTGTGGAAAGAAACAGACGACACGGTTCCCCCATCGTATTCTGCGTCGCCACAACTTTTGGGCAGCCTCAACACGTTATCTTCAAACTCTCTGTTCAGAATTTTCTTCGAAAAAAGATTCGACATTTTCAATTTTTTATGATACTTTAAATGTTCAATTTTGTATGCCTCATCCGGTTGGGCGGTTTGTTCCGTTTTGCGGTCCGCTTTGCCGTCCATTTTGGCATCCGCCTTGCCGTCCATTTTGGCATCCCCTTTGCCATCCGCTTCCTCTTCCGACTCGCCCTGCCCGCACAACGAGAAGGCTCCCTCCTTGCTACCCTTTAGCAGATTCTTCAACCCCCGGTTGTTGCGCGCCAGGTAGCTAAAGGCAAAACAATTATTGTGAGAAAAGAAGAATATCGTGATAAACAGGTACACAATAAACATAATGGGGGTGATCTGAATATTGAAGTTGATGTAGTGGGAGGACTTAATAATGCAGGTGATTCCCCTGAGATGTTTCTGTATGTTGTTAATTATGTACAGGTAATTTTTTAGGTAATATATTTTTCTGTTCACACGGTTATTTCTGATCTTTAGGATGAGGTCAACGAGGTACGTGACTTTTTCGATATACGTCTTGTACACCAGGAGCCAGTTCTTGTAGTTTATGTTCAGGTAGTTGAGGCTGTTAAAGATGTATACGCTTTTTTCCAGGTACCGTTGCTTCGAGAGTGGCACATCAGCTCTGCTGACCATGCGGCTTCCAACCCGACTGCTGACCCCCCTCCGCAGTCGCTTACCCGTGTGTCCTCCGGGCCCCTTGGAGGACCTCCTCCTGGGGGAGACCTGGTCCCCGCCCCCCTGCAGGCAACTCCGGTTCAGGTAATACCTGTTCAGGAACCTCCGCAGGTACGTCTTGTTCCCTATAATCTCATTCAAATCCTGAAAGTTGAAATTTTTGCCTGAACCGTTCAGGCGATTGTTCCTTTGGACATCTTCCACGTGGTCGTCATTTTCGGTGGGCACTCCTCCACCTGGGCCCAGCTCGACCAGAACATCCGCCTGCGACAGTGGGTCGTCGTACTTGCGCATGAGCGCCGCGGCCACCCCGCCGCGTACAGGACCGTCTACAGTACCGCGTGTAGAACCGCCTACCGCAGCCCGGACACCACAGAAGTTGACATACGTATTAATGATGCTGGTGTACAGCACATGCACATTTCTGTCGAAAGAGAGGTGCAGCCGGTCCGATTGCCCCCCCGTGTCATTCTTCACATAGTGCAGAAACTCGATGTTGGAAAAATTGAACACACTCTGAAAGTTAAAATCGTAATTAAACAAATAGTAATGATAAATGTAGTGCTTCAAATAGCTGTCATTGTAGCTTCTGACCATGTGCAGGTAATGGCTTACAAAATTGTTCGCGTTCTCACAATTGAAGATGGGGTTCAAAAACTCAAAGAGTGTTTTCTTCTGATTGAAGTTATCTTCATTGACGATGGAGTCAAATGGGTTAACATTTTGTCGTCCTTTTTTTATCTGTGCCTCTTTCTTGTATTGCTGCTCAGTTGCAATCATTGCAGCGTTCGCCTCGCTCCTTTCCTCTCTGTCCTCTTCACCCCCTATGGAGAAATCCATGTCCATGAGCTGCTCCACGTGCTTGTCGATGTTATTCAATATGTGGTCAATGATGGGAACGAAAACATTTAAAATGTGGAAGGATATTCTAAAAAAGACGATTTTCTCTGTGTCCTTCAATTTTTCTATCTCCACATTCTGGGTCAGGTAATAAAACACATTGAACTTGTTTACCCACATGGTGCTTATCAGAAAAATTATGTAGTCCTTGATTTTCTGATTTTTTACGATCATGTAGAGTATGTTAAGGCTTTTGGTAAGGAAGGAGTTTTTCTCGAATATGTTGTATTGCCTCCAGTTGTTCAGGTTGCTCAGGTGGATGTTCCTTCGGTAGTAATCCCGTTTGTAGCAGTTCCTTTTGTAGTATTCGCTCTTCCTTCCGTTTCTAGCGGCGGGATTGGTTCCCTTTTTTGAGCGCTCTCCGTAGGGGGGATGATCCACGCGGTTCCCTTCGGGGAAGCGCGAGTCAGCATAACTGACCTCGTCCGCTTCTTCGTCTTCCTCTTCCATCTCCTCCTCTTCCACCTCTTCTTCTTCCTCCCGTTCCTGCCTCATCTGGTCCCCCCCCCTGGGGCGGTAATCCACGTGTATCAACTCACGCACACTCTCGAAGCAGGAGAAGTCCACGATGACGCTATCAATCATGGTGCTCAGGAAGCACTGATGCTCCATCTCCATACCCTCGTCGACAGTAGTGAGGACATTCTTCTTCTCACTGTGCTTGGCTGGAATGAACGACAGACCTAGGAGAGACAAGATGCAATTCTCAATCAGAGAGTCCGAGTTGTTCAGAAAGAGAAACTTCCTCGTGAGCACTTCATAAAAATAAAGAATAAGTTTTGTGATGGAAATTTTACTATAACTGTTGAGGAGGCGATTCTTGTTCAAACCTCTTATATCGTTGTAGTCAATGTCGACATTAAGAAGATGACTCAGTTCGATCCATTCGCAGAGTTCGTTGTTGAGCAAGATTTGTTTTCTCTTCATCTCTGTGCTGAGCGTTTTGGCTGCCTCCTCCTTCTTCTCTTTCAGCAGCTCCTTTATCGGAATAAGCAGGCTCTCCTGGTACTGTTTTCCATAAATTTCCTTTTCACCACTAATCGCTTTTTTTATGTGGTCAAAGTACTTCATTTGTTCCTCTCTGCTGTCTTGAAAGGTGCTCGGAAACAACATGTTTTCGTTTAATTTGTTCAGTCGGTTGAAGAAGTCATAGAATTTTAACTCCCTCTCGATCATCCTTTCTATGTCTTTTGCCTCGTCCGTTTTGTCGTAGCTATTCCGTTCGTTGGTGAATGGCTGGGATTCTTCCTGCGTGTTCGGGTTGCCATTGTTGGTGTTAAGCGGCGAGTTGGGCGGCGAGCTGAGCGGCGCGTCCTGGGCTCCTCCTCCTCCGGTTGCCTCTCCCGTTTCCTCTCCGGTTGCCCCACCGCTAACCCCTCCGCTAACCCCTGCACCGCCAACCGCGTTCTCTATCCTGAGCAGCCTCTTAAAGTACGCGTGGCGCTTAAACGACTTGACGTAAAGGTAGAGCCTCAGATCGCTCACGTGCACAAGCTCGGTCTCCAAAAAATCGTACTTCTCCGTGTAAAAGTTGTTAATAGGAAGAAAATTGTACGAGCTGCAATACCCCACCAGGTTCGAATCGATTGACTTTATCTCCTTGTAGTAGTCTTCCCTGCAGTACTTGTCATTGCTGTCTTCACAAGTTAGGTTGTACAAACTGAGGTTCTCCTTGTCTTCTTCCTTTTCTTTGTTGTCATAAAACACACATATCTTTTTACTCTTAATGGTGTCAATAATATCGTTATCCGAGAGGTAGTCATACATATACTTCATTTGTTTCTTTTTGTTCAATCTCAGACGTCGGTACGTGGTTAATAATTCGTCATCCATTTGGGGTTCTCCTCTCTGTCTCCGTCTCGAGGGGAGGCGTCGTCGCGGGGATCTACGTGGCCTCCTCAATTCCCTTCCTCTGCTGTTTGCACCTCCGTACAGGTTGTCGCTGAGGTAGAGGAGGTCCCCATCCGCGTCGTCCTCATCCACGTCGTCCTCGCCGTCGGCGTAGGGGACGCCGTCATCCTGAGAGTGCCTTCCATCATATGGTGAGTAACTCCCCTCATCGTATTCCTCTTCCGCATCGTCATACTGATCTGTGTCCCCATACGAGATGCTCTCCTCCTCATCATCCTGGTTCCCTTCGTCATCATCATCGTCATCAATATAAGGATCTCCTGCCCCACGGGAGTGTTTATCCATTCCGCTTCTGTCAAATGGGTGCTCTGCTGTCATTCCCACTCGTCTTTTCCTGCTTGGGTGAAACTTTCTTTGGCTTCCTCTACCCTGCAGACGGCCTTCTTCACATTGTTCACCTTCATCACGAGGGTCACTCTCTTCGTCTTCCACTGCGCAGCCATTTCTCTCCTTCTGATTTTTTAAGTACGTTAACCAGCTTGTAGTGTTTAGCACTTCCTTACTGCGCAGCCCTACACTCCCTTGGGTGGCAAGTCCCTTTTTCCCTTTGGCATTCACAAAGGCTCGGCTTCCCCTACGGTTGGAAGCCCGTCGGAGGAAGTACAAAAGAGGTAGGTCCACAAAGTTATGCACAATCCGTTCCATCTGGATGGTCCTATTAGAAATGACATAGCAGTTGCTAAACTTCTGTCTGTTCAGGTGAAATATAAAAATGATACGCAAGGCATATTTCAAAAAATTAAAAGATTCTTTGTCCCTTTTAAGTATGTTAATGGTTGTTCTACAATCCCGGATGAAAATCTGTAGAATCAGATATATGATGATTTTGTCCATCTCTTTTGTCCTGAGGAAATTTTTCAGTAAGAGGACGAGGTAGGTGGTCCTTGAATTCACGTTGATGTTTTTAAAGAGAAAGTTGTGGACACACATTGGAGTGCACAAGGATTCGGTGATGCTTATGTCTTTTCCGGTAAGGGTTTCTCCTGCGTCTGCCCCTGCTTCGGTGGCAACGGTTGCGGTAGTTGGTGCGGATGCTTCTCCTGAAAGTGCTCCGGAAGCTTCTCCCGAAGATGCTCCATTTGCTATCCTTCCCCCTGTGCTGGCGGCGGTGGCAGCCTCACCCTTGGCACCATTCGCATCGACTAAGCTGATGTCGAAATGGAATTTGTCAATCTTCTTGTGTAGCATTTTTTCATTTTTCCAGAGAGTGTACATATGGATAAAGAGTACATCTCGCTCGAAGAGGATCTTCAGGATGTCGAACCCTAGGGCTTTTACTCTGCACAAGAAGAGGGATGTGTAGAATCCCTTGGAGTAGGAACACGTCAGATATTGCATCTTCTTCTCGTAGTAAACTTGGCATGTGGCTGAGCTGAACAGGTCGTTCTTCGGGCCCAAAGCAGCGTTCGTGTCGCTCTTCGAGGCAGAAATTGCATTCGCATTCACGTCACCCTTCGAGGGAGAAGCCGGGTTCGCGTTCACGTTCACGTTCACATCGGTTCCGCCGCCCCTCCTGAGGAAGAGGCTCCTCCGCTGGCTGAACACACTGATGTAGTCAACATAGTTCTTGCATTTGAGAATCATCTCCTGCAGGGCCCGATTCTCCTCGTGCATGATATTATCCAAGAAAATTACATTCAGGAATATGCTCATAAACTTATTTGACTCTCCTAAAATCTGGTCAAACAGATACATCGTAGGTCTGAAGTCACAAGAAAAATCGAACCGCTCATTCATCACTCGGTTCATGCTTCTGTTGTTATCGTTCAGGGGCAAAGGTCCCTTCAGAATTAGCTTAAAGTACATAAAAACGAGCACTATCAGAATGTACATTTCTCTGTCCTTAAAGTTGATGTCCGCTTTGCTCTTCGTGTCTCTCATTTTGTTTTCTTTAATTATTTGGATTTTCTTTTCCTTCAGCAGGTTATATTCGTTCTTCCTCAATTCGAACCGATGCTTGTACACCTCTGCGTAGAGTGCGTTCGTCTTCACCTTCAAACTTTCGTAGAGGCCCTTGAGCTGCTCCACGTTCTGGACCGACCCGAGAAGTCCCCCCATTCCGCTCATTCCATCCGGCTGAGAAGCCGCACCAAACATGTTGCCGCTTCCAAAGAGGCCCGTCCTCTGGTGAGCACCCTGACTGGACAACAGGGACGAGTTTGTTTGGCCTGAAAAAGGGCTCAGCGAGTTGTTCGTTCCGGTGGTGGGAGGGAGATTCCCTGCGTTGTTCTGTCCCAGTGAGTGATGTGTACCGGATAAGCTACTCCCGAATAGAGTGCCTCCACTGGGATTAGTGCCACTGCCCAGGTTTGACAATGTGGCGGTTCCTCCTCCGAACATATTCGTAGAGGAGGACGTAGTTGTCCCGGTCGCGCCAAACTTGTTCACAAAGGGAAAAGACGAGGTTGACTGCATTGCTTGGTTACCCATCTGGTTCTGCGTGGGGTTGCTACTGAAGGAGGTGCCCGCCCCTTGTGAGAAGAAGCCGGTAGTCTGTAGGCCTGTTCCTTGTAAGCCTGTTCCTTGTAAGCCCCCGCTCTGTGAAGGCATAAAATTCGAACTCTGATTCTGTTCCCCTCTAGACGTTACAGCATTCCCGAAGTTGCTCGCTCTCGCTCCGTTATTTTGAACAAGCGGGTTAGACAAAGTGTTTGTGTTTGGACTGCCGCTAAGAAGGCTGCTGGACGATGCATTTGTGCCAGTCCTATTCGTACTGAATAACGAGTTAGACGTGTTGTTGCCTGATAATAGGGACGTGCTCGTGAAGATACTGTTTTGGTTAATTGGGGTGAACAAACTGGGCTTGTTTAGGCCACTAGATGCTGCATTTGCAAATTGAGAGCCTACGTTGTTCTGCAAGAATTGCTGGTTCGGGTTGGACGAGATGCTGCCCCCGAAGGGATTGCCTCCACTCTGCTGCGTCGTTCCGAAGAGATTGCCTCCACTCTGCTGCGTCGTTCCGAAGAGATTGCTTCCCACTTGGCCTAATCCACTTCCTCCTGATGAGGCTCCTCCCTGTGGAAGCATCTGGTTTGACGTGCCCCTCGCGGGATTGCTAAAAAGCTTGTTCGTGTTGCTGAGCAAGGCGCTGTTGGAAGCAGCCCCGCTTTGATTGACCCCGAATGCACAGCTATTTGTGCTGCTCGAAGGGCCGAACAAGCTTGTGGACGAAGTCATATTTGATCCGAAGAGGGAAGATCCGCCTGTTGTCTTGTTTGAGCTGCTGTTCGTTACTAGGGCGCTGGTTGGGGTGTTAAATAGGCCACCCGTGGTTCCTACGGCCGCTCCTTTGTTAAGCGTCCCGCCGGCCATTAATGAAGAGAAGCTCGCCGCAGGGGTTGCCCCTCCCATGGTGGCAGTCCCCCCCATGGTCGTTGCCGCTGTCCCTGCGACAGAGGGGGAGGTCCAACGCGCGGAAGACTCGTACGCTGTTCTTGCATTCTCCAGTGATGATGCTGTCATGCTAGGGGAGGCGGAAAGGGCACCGCTTCTCTGTGTGCCAAAGAGACCACCTCCTGTTGAGTTATTCATCAAACTATTGGGTGCAGAACCGAAGAGGCTGCTTGTAGCACCCCCTTGGGTTAGCAGTCCTGATTGTTGAGTGGCCTGTCCTGTGATTGGCAACCCAGTCGATAAGGGTGAAGAATTCATCCCGAGGAGGTTCCTTTCGTTGAATAGCGTAGTGTTCGTCCCACCTGTGGCAAGGGGCCCCCCTGGAGTAGTGCTGCTCTGTTGGTTAAAGAGAGAAGGGCATAACAAACTGGATGGTGTCACACCGGGAGGGGAATAAAGAGTGTCCCCAAAATTTCCCACCTCGCCAAACGACCTGTTCAGCATTCTCTGAGCAAAAACATATGGCTCAAAAGGAACAGCGTTCTGCTTCAGAATCTGCTCCATCTGCAAGATGTTCGTCGTGTTGACATTAATCTCGTTCTGCAATTTGACAATTTGAGCTTCTATGTTTTTGGACTTCTGCATGTAGTAGTTGTATCTCCTTCTAAAGAGAGAGTTCTCTTGTTGGTTCATGAAGAATTCAAGCTTGACATTCTCATCTAGCTGATCTTCATTTTCGTATTTCTTTTCTCTAATCTTTTTTAAGACAAAATTGTTTACAAGATTGTAGAAGACGTTCTGGACGATGTAGTTGGTGAGAAGGATTAAATGCTTGCAGACGTTTTTTTCAAAATCGTCAATCATCAGTTTTTTCTTCAGACACGTTTCGTAAACGTCGTCATTGTCGTCATGCTGTGGGTCCGCGTTTTGGTTCCGCCTGCCCAGGCTCCATCCCGGTGCTCCCCCGGAAGGTGCTGCTCCGGCTGCTCCCGCGTTGTTGCTGGCGCTCTTTTGGTGACCACCGCTCTGCGCTGCACCTCCAAGGGATGGGCTACTGGACTGTTTCTTCTTCCGCTTCACTGCGCTTCCGTTGTCTTTGTCAGGATAGTCCCCCTCCTGATTCTCCTCCTGCTCATGCTGCTCATTCTCATCCTCCGTGTAGAGCTCGTCAAAGAATCGGTCAAAGTTAAAAAAGATGTCGAAGAAGATGTAGTTCCTTCCTTTGGGCGCTTTCCTCCCACTGTGGTAGGCATCCCCCCCGTGGTCAGAGTAATAGCCCTTCTTCCTGGGGTCGTGCCCGCCGCCTCGTCCGAAGGGTCCTTCTTCCTGTTGCCCCTCCCTGCGTCGAATCTTCCGGTCTATCTCGTCAATCTTATCGATGTTATTGAAAAAGTGCCATATACGAGTCAGCGACAGATTAAACTTCCTCTTAATGCCAATCATGTATAATAAGAAGTTAACGCACTTCATAAAGGTAATTACAATTTTGAGATTAAAATACGGGATGGAGAAATTCGTAGCGAGAAGTTCCAGTGTGTTATTTTTGAGGTGCCCCAAAGAGACTAACCTATCCACGTGCTCGAAGTGCTTCCTCAACCGGTCATTCTGTTCGTTATACCGTTTAGTGGCTTCAAAAAGAAGATCAGGGAAAACCTCCGTAAGTGTGCACAAAACGGACAGAGCAGAGGAGGAGTTCTTCACGAAGCTCGAGCAAAGGATTTCTATACAGAGACATTTCAAATCGATGACATCAATCTGTGAGTTATATTTTGTCTTAATTATTTCATATAGTATGTCCAGGAGGTGCATCGTTCTGTATTGTTTGATGTTTCTATCCTTTGCTTCACTCACTTTGTTTTGTAAATTGAGATTGTGAATGAACACATTTCTGAAGTTGGTTGTATTGATGAGATTCTCCGTGTCGACAAGTGAGATGAGATTATTGTACTTTCGATTTTTTATTTTAAATAGGTTTCTGTCATGGGTGAGGCGGTACTGTGTGGTTTTCTGCTCCGATTTGAGGTTTCCCACGTTCATGGTGTTGGATGCTCCGCCGCTACCCCCCCCTTCGTACTGCTCCAGAAGGATGTAGTCAATTAGGAGATTTTTATTGAGTGGCAAGTAGTAGCACAACTTGTTATTATTCACGGAGGAGAGGAAGAGGAGACACTTCTCCAGCATTTTCAGGCAATTGTACGGATATACATTTTGCTCAAATATGTTTTCTAGCAGATATCTCGCATCGATGTTGGTCCCTTTTTTCTCACTCTGAAGTTCATTTTTGAGAATCACTTTGGCTCGATTCATAATGTCTTCATTCGTGGAGGCCAACTCGTCGTCCTTAAAGAGGGACACTTTATGCTTACTGTCTAGGAAGAAATCGATTGCGTTTTTGTTTTCCTCGAAGAAGATTTTTATCGCCTCTTTGTTGTTGTACGACCCGTCATTGTTCTTGCTGATGCTTTTTATCTTCTCCTCGTAGTCTAGGATCTGCTTCACGTCATACTCCTTCTGTGTGATTGTCTTCAGCCCCTCCAGCTGCGCCTCGTCCAGGTTATTTCGGAACAGAGCATCCGCCACGTTGTACCGTCTGAACTCGCCCTTGAGGAAGTTGTTTTCGCGCAACAGGTTTTCTGTCAGCTTGTTCTCCTCCAGGAGGTAGTCGATGCAGTTCTCCTGCTCGAGGATCTTCACCAAGAGGGGGGTAGGACCCGTGGCGGAGGCAGTACCCGTGGCGGAGGCAGTACCCGTGGCGGAGGCAGTACCCGTGGCGGAGGCAGTACCCGTGGCGGAGGCAGTACCCGTGGCAGAGGCAGTACCCTTGGCAGAGGCAGTACCCTTGGCAGAGGCAGTACCCGTGGCAGAGGTAGTACCTGTGACCGCGTTCGCCGTC